TAGTGAGTTAGTTGTGCATGCGTATTGCTATTTAAAACTCCAGGAAATTTGTTCATTAAAAAGTGCAACTCCAAGCTACAATTTACATAACAAAATATAAATGTTTTACTTTTGATAAGTATATCAGTTAAAATACGCATTTCTCTGCTTGAAAAGTTTATAGCCATTACACTAAAAATTGTTAGCAGAAACACTACTTGATCTGAAAACTTTCTGCCAATGGAAACCTCAAACTCAAGAAATACACCCTCTCCTATGCTGAACTTACCTGGCAGAAAAGACTACTTGTATTTTAGATTATATGAGATTAGATTAGTCACCCCAGACTGTGGAGAGCAGTTGAAAATTACAGAAAGTTACTACCACCTCTATGCAGAGTTGGGTGGGAAGACTAATACTACTAGCACGGGGGAAACCTGCTTGTCACACATGTGAAAGCCTTTTAGAAAGTCTCCCTCTAAACCAGATGGATCTGTAGATTGCAGAGTGGGACAGGCAGGGGAGAGAAGATCAAGGAATGGGCTACACTGTTGCTAGGTGTTAACTTGAGAGCAAGAGAAGGGAGTAATCCACAGAAGAGAAAATACATCACAGATGGTAAAGGATAAACTATGGAGGGGGGTTGATTAGTAGTTTAAAAATGTTGAATAAAAAGTTGATGGTCTGAAAATGTAACCCTCCACCTGCTTTACAATAAAAAAATTGCTATTAGAAACAAAACGAAAAAGCCAGATGACCCTACTCCCTTTGCATCAATTTCACACATGAATTCATAAAAGGAACACAGCCCAACCGGGACCCCATTAACGGTCAGCACCTTCTGTTAATTTTCTCCCCGTTACTACCGCATCACATAGTGGGAGAGGTGGAGCTGCAGTTTTAGAACTGCTGCACAGCCAAGCCGGCAATGTCGAGGGGAAGCCAAGGCAACTCATTGCAAAGCTGGACAAGAATGGCTCTGGAGGACCTGGGTGTAAATCCATAACCAGACCCTGGCAAGGAAGTGCTATGTCAAGAGAATCAAGGCTCAGGATGGGGATGTCAAGACTTCAATGTGACCTCCGGCACGAAAGGTTAGGAAATCCACATATGTCTTCAGTAGACACCTGGTAGCAGTGGAAGTGGGCCACAAGAGCTTCTTAGAGCCCAGACCCATGGCCTCCTTCTGACCTCACTGAAGAACCTCAGGGCTTCATGTATGTGATCCCCAAACAATGCCATCTAGCCTCGCCTCTTAAGAGTTACGACGCCCCAGGTCATTTGTAGTACTCACCATTTCCTGGCCCCAGCTTCCGGAGATCTAAGAGAACGCGTTCTCTTCACCCAAGAAGCACTTCAGGAAGCGTGCTGGGAGTGGAGTGGAGGCAGAGTCGCGAGGCACTTTGGGGGCAGGTGAATGATGTGTGGTCCACAGCCAAGCAGAGCAGTTAAAATCACTGAGATCTCATGGACGTGCAAGATGGTCTTGTTGGCCTCCAAGTGCCTAGACTGGACTAGCTCTCTGTTCACCACACCTGGGACCTGAAACGGAAGGAGATGATGGTGAGTAAGGAAGGGGTGCCAGGCTCTTGGCCTTCAGTTCTTTCCTTGGCCAGAGCCTTCCCCGCCCCCAGGAAATGCTACAGTCCAGGCTAGTTGTACTTGAGGCAGAACCTGCCTACAGGTTTCACAGGCTTCTTCCTCTGGCCACAATGTCTCAGGTAGAGGGTTTCCTCATTCATGGTATGAAGAGGGGTCAAAGGCCAAGGCAAGGGTGGAGGCCAAGAGGTACCTAGGAAGGATCCAAAAAGCTTGGGCAAGATCAGCTGCTCCCCCACCTTACAAGAAGCCTGGGTAGAAGCCTCAATGAGGTGCTGACAGGTGGCAAACAGCCTACACAACGCCGGGGGTGGGGAGGAGGGCGGAGGGCTGGCATGGGCTCTGAAGTGCCTGTCATGGCCTCCCTTTCTCAGCGTTA